CCTATAGATTTGAGTGAATTTCTCTCTTCTTGAGGAAATAGCCTCAAAATACCCTGAAGTTACTCAGCTTGCCGGGAAATGACCTTTCTTTCTCACCTGGTAAGGTTGCCAGGAACCCTGAAAGCAAAGTACCAGGCCAATTTTTCCAAGTGGCTTTATTGGCTCCATAAAGTCAAACTTTGTTCCTTATAGCTGTTTGGTCTTATATGAGTTTATGCATATCTCTCAAATATGACATTACAATCGAAGCTTTGGTAATATAGCCAATGTTTCTAATTGTGTTCTCTTACAAGGAGAACAGATTATTATTGCACTTATGCAAATAACTATATTGCTATGAAAGTAAAAATACTGACTAAGAGTTTCCAAATTCTGGAAGGATCAAGTAAAGAGAAAAAGATCAATGTTTCATCATTGTTCACAATGGTATACCTTACCAAATTGCTGATATTTTAAGAGAAAAGAGAAAAATGTTTCCTTAAATCTGGACAAAAAACATAAAAGAACCAAGAATATTTCAAACAAAAAGTTATAACAATTATAATCATCTTCATCAGTTCATTCAGTCCTTTGAAATTAATTCTTATTTACTTTGATCTTTTGTTACCAGTTTTATGAAGCCATCTGTTTCTTTGTTAGAGTTCTGCAAATTCTTACCAGGTTCAGTGGTATGATCTGAAAGTCATAAGAAACCTGTATTCTACAGTACACATCAGAGGTTTTTCCATGGATCGCTCTGAAGATAAAACATATTCGCAAAGGCATCAGAGTAAAACAATAACTTTCTGTAAACGGCAGTTTTAAAAATGGTGATGGTTAAGGATCTGATGACAGTCCATTACAATGCAATTTACAAGAAAATTTGGTTATTTCTGTGACTTACAACATCTTAAGATAATAACTAGAATTATAAGTGACAATATTATACCAGGACATATAAGATTTCTGGGAATTTTAAGCAATATCTGGAACGCTTGTAATATATAACTATACAAATATAATTATTACTTCTTACTCCATAGTGTTTTTCATGTAATTTAAGATATCAAATAATTCTATTTATTTTAGTGTCTCTCTTTTATGAAGAAAGAGAACAAATATTTTGCGATGTTCCAGGGGCCATCTTGAAAATCCCAAATTTAGTTTGAGGTGAAAAAAGATTCATTTAGAATTTTATTTTGCAAAGTTTGTCAAAAATATCAAAAAGTTTGGTTACTCGACTAGAAATGATCACGGATCATTATAAAGCAATACTTAATTAACTATTTAACCAATAAGGCAATAAAATATTTAAAAGGCAAACATAGAAGTTTACATAGTTGTGAGCAAAGCTTAGCTCTTGTAATATTAGTAAGGCTGTGTTTTCCTTAGTAATCAAAGACCTAATGATAAAGATAACACGAAGCACAGGAAATTATTTTGATAAAACACGAAACCTTTGCTTCCTAGACAAATTACCTAAAGGATAAAGAAAACCCTTTCACAGTCTCTTATCAGAAGTAGACCAATAGTCCAAGGAAACTTTGTCTTTTTCACAGATAAAGAAAATTAAGGTTTAACTTCGTGTAAGTACAAAGTTAAATAATATTGGTATTAAAGCTTATTTTTAAAACTCTTATCATAACAATTGAATTTTGGCTCACTTGATTAACAAAGTTCAATTTTTAACTCTCTTTTTCTCTCTTACCAACTTTATATTTAATTTGTCCTTTAATTCTCCCCGTTTCTATTTTGAAATAACCTGTTTTACTTTATGATAAATTTGCTTTCTTTTCCCTTAACAAAAATGCATCTTCATCTCATACTTTTCTTACTCCAAAACCCATCCTTCTATCTTTGCATACATATTTGTTTCCCTTACTATTTCTAGTAGCTTTAATCATATATATCAGTTAGAATTATTTACCTTACTAATTTTAATTTCTAGTGAAAACCGAGACAAAAGCAAATGTGAACTGTCTGTTACACCAGTATTCCTTAGATTGACAAATTTACGAATACATTTCATATTGCTTCTATTATCCCCTGAATATTGGCCTCCATTTTCTGATTATTTCTAGGAGGATCAGGGAGTTTGCTGAGGAAAAAGGGCAGTTTTTAAGAAGGGGGATTAACATTGGATATGGACATTAGTTTTTGTTCAAAGTCTAATTTCTATTCTTTTATCTTGTTAAAGAAGTCCCCAAGGCTAACTGTTATACTCCTTTGCTCTCACTTTAAATTTGGTATTTTTCTAGCTACCAATAAGACAATTGTTTAGAATGAGAGCTCTCTAAAAACTTTTTCAATCTAGCAGTTTTTCCAATTCAAAGTACTCATTGTCAGGCCATTGATGAATAGGACATATTAATGTTAATAGTGACTCAAACCAGTAAGTCTTTATAAGGCTTAATGGATGCAAGAGGCATTACAAAGGAGAGTCCAAAAGGTCTAGCCCTCACAAAATCCAGCCTAAAAAACCAAAACCTTTGTTATCATAATGAGACAATGAATGTCGAGACAACAAAGGCCCCTTATAGACTGGGACCCTGTATGACAAGAGACCCCTGAGAGCTGGAACAGTCAGATGAAGAGGCCTCACACTGGACCCAGTCCAACCCAAGTTAAACTCAGTCTAGTTTCAGCTTGGATTCACAGCCTGTTCAGCTGTCTGCCAGTTGCATGCCAGTACACACAACCTGTGTTTGATGGTGGCCAGAGAGAATATTCTCACTGGTCAAAAAGCCAAGCTCTCAAGACATAGAACAGGAGACAAAGGAAAAGAGAGGAAAAGGATCAATACAAAACAAGAATACTTATACCAAACCTTTACCAGAGTTACTATACCCAAGAAAGAAGTTACAAAAATATTTACTTCTGGTAATCTATATTTAAAAAAAGAAAAAAGGACTCACCACTCTTGCTTCCAACAGACTCTGCAGGTAGAGATCTGAGAGACTGATGTGGTAAGAGTTCTTACCTTCTGCCACACTTTGTCAGAGTTCCAGGATCTCTCAGCTGCAGTAGCCCCAGAGTGAGCAGTGTCCAGCCATTGAAGGTCCCATCTGGGTTGCAAAAATTTTAGGAGCAGAAAAATTTTCCCTTCTACCCTTCTAGGTTCTTTTGTTGGTCTAATAATCAAATTGACATAAGACAGATGGATAGGAGAAAAACAAATTTAATTTTGTAAGTATGGGAACCCAACAAAAATATGAGACCTAAGGGGAAGTCAGGCAGTTGAGCTTATATGCCATCCTGAGCTAAGGAATGAAATAGGCCCTGGGGCTTCAAAGGGGAGGAGGGTAACTCACAGGACAAAAAAAAGAGCAGATTTTTGGTAACCCAATGTTTGCCCTGCCATACAGATGGTTCATTCAGATAAAGTTATATCTGGTAATAGCTCTCTTTCTGTGCCAGGCCCCCAATCTAAATTCTTTTGTGTAGTTAAGGAGAGGTAAATGTTTTTCTTCAGTCTTCTGGGTCTTGATTGCCTTCAGCTCAAAATACTGCCAAAGTGGTATATTTGGGGGTCATGTCTTCTGCTCCCCTTCCCTCTATATTGGATTCAAGAAAAGTTGTGATTTTTGATTCTCCAGTGTTTTGAAATTGTAAGAATGAGAATGAACGTCTTTCCAGCTTTCTATTCTAATCTTGTTTCCAAAAAATTTTTTTCTTCCTTAAATTAGCCAGAGATAATTTCTCTTTACTTGTCAACTAAGAAATAACAAAATAAAAAACAGAAAGACATTTATCCAGATGATACAAAGTACAAACAAATATTTAAGAGCCTTTAAACAGTTAAAGATACCATGAAACAGGAAGGTCTCCAGAGAAATGTCCAGCAAAGACCAGCTTATGATAAGACAAGCATGGGACATCTAATCAGGACCAATAAGAAGGGAATTTTGGATAAATAATTCCAGAATCCTCTATTAACTTCCCACAAGTTGTCACTGATTTCTTATCTAAGTAATAGATTTACAATAGGATCTTTTGTGTAAACTTCATGTTTATTAGCATGTGCTTTCATCCTAAGTAAAACTGTGTAAGATTCTCATTTCATCAAGTAGGGTTACAAGTAACACTTTCTGATGTCTTAAAAATTCTTCATGCTGAAGTTCTCAATGATTTTAAATAATAATTGGATGCCTAAACCAAATTATTCAATCATTTAAAAATATTCACTGAGAACCTACCCCTGACCAGGCACTCTGTTATATGTTTGGGATCCAGTACACAAAGAGCATTGATCTAACACCCCAAGCCAACCACTGAAGTCAAGACTCTGAGTGGATAAATATCAGTTAAGGATTGCCACTTTAAAAAATGTTTCAAGCATACTTGTTTTTGTCTAGAGAATCTATACACTATGAACAAACTCAGCACACCAAGACTTATAATTCTTACTTTAACTGTTTTTCTTCCCAAGTAGACTAAAAGCTCCTGGAATAAATTGATTACACTGTCAACCACTGTATAGTCATAAGTGTAGGAAGGTGCTTGGATCCAGCAGGTGCTAAGTGACTGTTTGGTGAGTGAATATTTATCTACCCGAGTCAAACAGAAGGTACTTTTCTTTATGTGTTTCAGTGTTTCTGTGGTCTCTGGGATGGCTACTGGTTCTTCCCTAAGAATAATGGAGAACTGGTGGTAATTTATACTGTTACACAGGGCAATCATATGAGTTCTGATAAAGCAAATAAAGCAACCAATGAGAAGTCAAAGATGTGAATGAGGTGAGGTGGGGGTGAAAGAGGGGTAGAGAATATTTGGGGAATATTCAAAAGGGCAGGAGAGGGATAGAGCGACATAAAGAGCAGGGGCAGGAGAAGGTTAGGTAGGGTGCTGGGAAGCCACATGGTTTCATGCTTTAATTGTATGAGCGAGAAAAAAAGTCCCTAGTGGTAAAGTGATTTTTCAATGCCACATAAGACTATTTCCATAGCAACTGAATTAGCGGACGGTGAGCAGGATGGAAGCTGGTGACAAGGAGAGAGGATGGAAGCCAGAGAAGAGTCAGAACTGGAGGGGCCATAAGTCTGAGTATGCAGTCCAGAGAACTGGAGGGCAAATGAGGTTATGAGTAGGCGGTCCCCAGAACTAAAGGAGAAATGAGAGTTGAATAAGTGATTCAGGGTTTAGGGAAGGAATAGATTTTCTTTTTTTGCAGACGATGAATAAAGGAAACGTTTGTCTGATAGAAGAAGGAAGTCAGAAAGGAGATGTTGTGGGGTAGGATTGTTCAGAACAGAAGTCAAAGACCAACTTTTCTTAGAGAAAGAAATAACGTCTGCAAATGAAATGCTCTTCCTGCAAATTCCATTGCTAGCAGTTCTCCTCCCAGGTGGTGACAATAAAGATGGTAAGAACTCTGGCAACTATCCAGTTGGGTGCAAGAGGGTCTGTGTGTGCGTTTGTGTGTGTGTGTTTGTGTGCGTGCATGTGTGTAGGTAGTGTGTTCTCCCCAGCATACACCTGGGGAGTGACGGTGTCAGCCTAGTTCCATTCTGAGTATCCCTGACCAGGTCCCTGTGCTCTTGTGAAGGTTGAATACAAATCATGGGGCCAGGGGGAAGGAAATGTCTCCTGAGATAACTGTGGCTCCCCTTTCTTTCTGACTATGAGTTTCCTCTCTATAGCACATTTCTTTCTCCATTCTCTCTCCTTTTCAATGTCTGTTTTTGTCTTCATTTTATCTGTTCTTTTGCTACAGACTTCCACGAGCAGGTGTCCTTCCAAATCATCCAGATCGCGTCCTTTTACAACCAATCCTGGGTACAAAATTTGGGCTCAGGTTGGTTGGGTGAGTTGCAGACTCATGGATGGGATAGCAACTCTGACACTATCATTTTCCTGTGGCCCTGGTCCAAGGGCAACTTCAGCAATGAGGATTTGACGGAACTGGGAAAGTTATTCCATGTGTTCTCCATTGGATTTCTTCAGGCATTTCACAACCATGCCAGTCAATGGCAACTGGAATGTGAGTTCTATTCCTTCCACGGGGAGTGGGGATATGGGTGGAAGGTGTGTTTGTCTCAATGAGTTTCTTTTTCCTCTAAGAAACAGTCTTCATTCACTTCTGCACCTTACCTCTCCTCACCATAAATCTGCATTTACACACTTTTGGGCAGAGTGTAAAATCCATATCCTGATTCTACAAAAGATTCAACTCTTCTTTTACTTACAAACACCTCTCTCACTGACTGCAGGTTTGTGCCTTAATATCTTTCATTAGTGGTTTACTGTGACCACCCCGTTCCCCAGCCTCCAACCAAATACACCCAGCTTCCTCACTCTTTGATTGACTCCCTACAGTGTAATTTTCTCTCCCATTCCATCTCTTCAGCAACCCGTAGATACATTCATTGTAACCTATTGCATTTCATTCACTCTGGATTATTATAATGTCAACTATCTCACACTCAGTCCTACCTTATTCTCTTGCCCGCCCCATTCATGTCACCTTCTTTAAACAATTTGGCGCCTTCTTCTTGTCATTCATCTCTTCCTCCATCTCCAACTACCACTAATTCTTCTTTTTCTGAACCTCTGTTGAAACCAACCTTTGCTCCATTCCCTCAAATCTCCTAAATTTTCCCTTCTGTTTCTCTTGTTTTTTGCTTCCATGCTCTTCATTTTATTTTTTACTTCCTCCTTCATCTAATTCACAACCCCTCTTCCCCAGATCCCTTTGAGTTACAGACAACAGGAGGCTGTGAGCTGTACTTTGGGGAATCCTCAGCAGGCTTCCTGAGGGTTGCTTATCAAGGATCAGATTTCCTGCACTTCCAGAACAATTCATGGGTGCCATCTCCAGAGGGTGGAAGTAGGGCTCAGCGTGTCTGCAGACTATTCAATTGGGACCAAATCACCCTGGAAACAATACACAGGCTCCTCACTGACACCTGCACACGTTTTGTCTTGAGTCTTCTTGATGCAGGGAAAGCAGATCTCCAACGACAAGGTCAGTCTTACATGCTTACTCCAAGAATTCTCTGTTGTAAGATCATACCTTCCCATTATCCCTTTCCCACTTTCCTAATAAGGAGCCAAAAGGAAAAGAAAATCATAGGACAGATTCCTAGAGGTGGGAGAGATGTGTCTATCTAACCTGATGTGAAGATCTAAACCTCTATGTCTGTGTTAGAGTCCTCATCGGAATACCTTTCCTGTCCTCTGTAGTAAGGCCAGAGGCCTGGCTATCCACTGGCAGCAGTCCTGGTCCTGGCCGTCTGATGCTGGTTTGCCACATTTCTGGCTTCCACCCAAAGCCTATTTGGGTGATGTGGATGCGAGGTGAGCAGGAACATCTGGGCACTCAGCGAGGTGATGTTTTGCCTAATGCTGATCGGACATGGTATCTTCGAGTGTCCTTAGATGTCGAAGCCATTGAGGCAGTTGGCCTGTCTTGCCGGGTGAGACACAGCAGTCTAGGAGGCCAGGACATCATCCTCTACTGGGGTAAGAAAGAACTGGGGCCCAAGCTGGGAATGGGAGTAGGTGGTCCTCAAGCAAAGCAGGAGAGTCAGATGAAAAATTTGGGATTCTAGTGACTACAGATTCAAAAGAAATAAAAGTAAGTTATCCAAGAAATAGAAAAGTAGAAAATGAGGGACCTGCAGATGTAGGAGTATATTGAGGGTTAGAGGAAGGATTTATCTTTAAATGGAGATGAGAGAAGAAATAGGAAGAAAGGAAATTGGTGATGCAGTCACTGAAATGAACGAAGGAAGACCAGGGAAATGCAATAAAATGGGGTGGATTTGAAATGACACACTTGTTTGCTCCCAAATCCACAGGACATCACAACTCTGTGGTCTTGATCATCTTGGCAGTGATAGTGCCCCTGGTGCTTCTGACAGGTCTTGCATTTTGGCTTAGGAAGCGCTGGTCAGTTCTTCGTATCCATCCTTCCTGCTCTTTGCCCCACTCCCCACTTCTCTTCCCATCTTTTTTGTTTTCTCTTTCCTCAGTTCTTCTCTCAGTCCCCTCCCTTCTTACTCCTCACTTCTCACCTCCACCTCAAGCAGTGACTTCCATCTCTGTTCTTGACAGGACACACTGTGAACCACAAAGCTGCATTCTCTCTTTGGAATGAGATCCCAGAAGTCCAGGGGCTCAAGACATATCTAAACTCAGCATGGTGTTGATATTCTTTCAACTCTCCTTGTACAACTTTTTGCTGTTGATGTTTATTTTTGCTTTATTGTCAGTTGTCATTATAAGAGAATTGTAATTTTCGAGGATTTGTTGTTGTGACCTGGGTTGTAGGACCTAAAGCTCAAATTATAACTCTGCATGGATGAGGTCCTAGCAATCTCCACATATTCAAATATTAATGGGTCATCAAGCCCATTTCAGATGTGTCTTCTTCCAGAGCGCCTTCCCTGATTTACGAGTGGAAGAGTCTCTGGCTTATCTGAACTCCCAGCACACTTGAACTGTACTGTGCCAAATCTAATCCTCACTTCCTGCCCTTTGTTTCAGCTATTTAGATCTCTTTTCCTCTTATAATTTTTAAAGTTTTTGAGAGCAAAGTACACGTATTTTTAATATTTGTATCCTTGGCAAAATTTCTTACCTGAATGTAACATGTTTTCAATAAAAACCTGTGTTGAATTTATGCCTAAATTATAGTTTTTTCTTATTCTTTTCCTTCCTGACAGGTTTGTAGTAGTTGAGACATTTATGCTTTTCTTGTTAAACATATTCTTGCTTGGCCGAGAGACTCACACTTTGAACATAAACAGCTGTTGTATTAAAGTCACTGTGAAGATTGAGTCAGTGAATATTGAGCCATTGCTACAACGGAAAATACAAGGTTAGATTCCTCTGAGCCTCTGGTCACAACATTTGTGTCAACTGATGAATACATAGCCTTGCTTTGTGTGTGTTTCTGTTTAAACACACCTTATTTAATATATATTTATTTCCAAAAAGTTTATTTATTATATGCAGTATTATTTTATAATAAAACACCACCTAAGAAGCATTTAACATATTTCCAATCTGGGTAATGTGATGGTAAATTTCTTGGGCTTTCATCTACACAGCTGTGCTGGCCACTATTTTTTCAAAAACAAAGAAATAAACAAGAAAACAAAAAGCAGTCATAGTCTCATGAATCCACAAATCTAGCTCCTTTTCCATCTTTCCGTAGCTTCATCATAGTACTATAGATATTACTTGAGCGGTCTCTAAGGTGAGTCTACATACAGATCAGTGAATTTCCTCTTCCTTTTTCTGGAATTACGGCATTGTTAATTCATTAACGCTGAACTCATGGTCCACAACACTATAACTCATGCCTGAACAAAGCTTATCCACACGTTCATCTTCTCCATAAAACATATCACAGCCTTGTGCTTAGGAACACTATACAGCACTTCAGCAGTATGCTTCAGGGCCATTTTAAACAGCAAAATGCCAATCAAGAGCATAAAAATGCAGAAAATGTGACACTAAATAGTCTGTGAAAAGGACACATTACAGTGTGAGAACCAAAACAAGAAGGCAAAGTGGCACCTTGTTCAACCTTAGCTAGAAACATGTGAGGTGGGGACTCAGATTTTGTGCTACTCTGCACATGTCTATAAGTGACTGTGAAATTGCTGTGAGTAGTTAGTTGGGGATTACAAACTTTAGCAAGTAGGTGAATTAGCAAATACAGGATTCATGAATATTTAAGATCAACTCTTTCTGACTAATGACCCCGAATGGCAATATGAGTCAAGATATTCATAGCTAGACTTTAATTACTTTAGGATTATTAATTAATTCAACAAGGAGTTCTAAAGCACTTACGATGCAGCAGGGACTTATCGAGTATAAAGTAATTGGGAAGAGAAAGATCATCACTGTCTTCTGCACTTGAAAATTTTGCCTTTCTCATTTGATTCTACAGTTTACTCTTTTCATCGTTTGTTGTTTCTATCTTAGTTTCTTAGTACAGCAACTTACTTGGGTTAAACTAGGGTAAAGGGACTTCACTCTAATTTGTTTAGGGGGCTGAGAGAGGAGGACCAGGGCAAGAAGAACATCCTGAGGGATGCAGTGCAGGTGGCAGCACCTTCACATGTGGAAACCCTTGGAAAATAAAATTGTGATTGGAGACAGGAAAAGTGAAAATTATGGGATGGGGGAGAGCAAACAGTGGGACCACTGGAATCTTCCTACCTCAATTAGACTGGTTGACTGCTTCTCTAGGCTACAGTCTACCTTGTCACCCTTGCATAGCAGCCATGTGTTTTTTGGTTTGTTGGCTCCATTGCCGTTTGTAGTCCTGGACTCTGATCAGCCTAAGGCTATCATGAGTAAGTGTCCTTGATGATGTGACACGCTCAAGGATGGACAGGTAACCAA